CATCCCCTTCAAAGTGGAGATCATCCCTCCTAAGACCAGAACTGCCAAGCAGATAAAGGCTTCCTAGGACCCACACAACCCAGAAGCTTTACCTGACTTATTTATGTTCTATAGTAGGCGCCCCTAAAGTTGGTCCTGGAGGGCTGCTGTCCTGCAGGTTTCAGAGGTTTCCTGCTCCAGCACAGCTGATTTTCATTGAAAGCAATCATCAGATTCAGCTGTGCTAAAGCAGGGAAACCTGTAAACCCTGCAGGACAGCAGCCCTCCACTACCGACTTTGGGGATGCCTGTTCTGTGTTTGAGCAGGAGAGGGAATATTGGTGTTTAGATCGAATCCATCCATCAGGAAACAGCTGTATTGCTTTCAGGAAGGCTTCCATCAGGGAGAAATATAACGGTGAGGGGGAGAATTCAGATTCAGAAAGGTTTCCGTCGTATCAAACAGCTGAGGCTGGATGCTTGGGTCAGATAAGGTTGAAAATCCAGATAGCTTTAGGTAACAACAGCTGTTCTACTCCCCATCTGAGACGTCCAGTCTGCTCCAGAGGAGCAAGGAGGAACCTGTGCAATCAGATCGCTGCAGAAAACGCACACCTTCCAGAATAAATGGTTGATATCTCATGCTTTTGGTGGCTTTTTTTTTCCTCTTTTGTCTGAGTTCAAATGAATCGGGGTGCGTCTGTCAGGAGAAGAGGAATTACTCTAAAGCAGGCATCACCAAACTCGGTCCTCAAGGCCCGCTGTCCTGCAGGTTTTAGAGGTTTCTCTACTTCAGCACAGCTGGTTATAATGATTGCAGTAGACCCAAAGCCTGTTAATCAGCTTTCAATTAAAATCAGCTGTGCTGGAGCAAGGAAACCTCTAAAACCTGCAGGACAGGGGGCCTGAGGAACGAGTTTGGGGATGCCTGCTCTAAAGCCAGGCTTAAACTATGTTTACTTTATTTTATTTTTCCCTTTTCGGGACGATTATCCCACTGCGAGAATTTTATATATAATTAGATGTAGATGTATGTGCACTTTTTAAATATTTTACAGTTTAAATTGCATAATAAAGGCTTTCTTTTCCTAAATTTTCAAACTCTTTTTTTATAATAACATTTTCTCCTAGACCAATCAACTAATTAAAAGAAAAAATTGATGAGGAGAAAAATAATGGATAGCTGGAGCCCTTACATACTAATGACACCTAGAATGTGTCCCATGTAGAAGTGATCTGCGGTTACTTCATCTCTTATTCAGTCGTTCTTTAAAATAAAACAATTTAATAAAATATTTGCTAGCTTTTTATCAAAGATTCCCAAATCTGCTGCATAAGGACGACTGTCTGCAGAGCAGCCCATCCAACCAAAGAGGAGGTTTCCTCTGAGATGGATGACGTCTTCCAATGTAAGCATTTACCTAATGAGTTTATTATTAGATCATGAACAATAGGCGGCATCTAAGATAAGAGGAAAGTCAGTCATTATCTGGAAAATGTTCCTGTCAGGATCACTGATCTCTATTCACTGGATTGCTGATAGGCCGTTGGTAGTACGGGGTTGAAGTGAGGCCACCGGCCGCCATATTGGTACTCCCTAGTTAGACCGGTCGCAGTGTAAACATTATGTGCGCAACAGCATCAAACAACGATGATGTTCTCATTTTCAGGAGGACTTAAACCTTTTAAAATAAAGATAAATTCATCTCTTTGACACACACTGGCTGTTTCATAGCATCAGTAGATTACTTTAACTTATGATTAAAAAAATTAGGCACATCACATTGCAGAGTTATTATGAACTCTATAAATCATGTAATATAACATATACATTTTATTTTTATTTATTTGAATAGGGACAAAGCACATTAATGAACATCAGTATAAAAACAAATGTAAATATGCCGGATTATAGCAACAAAGCTAGTTTTCATCTGTAGTCCCTAGGCAGGCAAATACATAAGAAAGAACATATAATATACAATATAAGCATCACAAGGAAATGTTAAGAGTTTAGTGGTTACATGACTGGTTTGTTTTCATCCGTAGTTTGAGTTGAGCTCTAAAGCTGATCAGTGTAGGGCTCTCCCGTATGTGCAGAGGATGCACCAGATGTTAGTGGCTCTCACAGAGAGAGCGTTCTGACCAAAAGTTGTTGTTCTGTGAGGAACCTCACAGTCTCCTCTGGAGGAGGCCCTGCTTCTCAGGCCACTTGAAGTATTGGGTTTGAACAGAGTAGACAGAGGAGGTGGGCTAGTCCATGCAGCGCTTTATAAATGAAGCATACATACTTAAAATTTATACAATTTTCAAAATTTAAAAGATTATACTTGTTAAAAATATTACATACATGGAAAGAATTGGGTTTTTGGTCAAACACTTTTAGAGATTTTTTGTACAGTGATTCAACTAATTTTAAATTGGTAACTGTGGTGAGAGACCAACTTGTGATGCAGTATTCAATGTGAGATA